GCTCGGAGGGGGGGGAGGGCCGCCATCCCGTTTTTTGGAGGAGGGGGGAGGAACAGCGGCCGCTTCCCGGGGAGGACACAGCTCGGGGGGCTGCGGCTCGGGGGTCCCGCAGGGATCCGTGCCCCCTCCCTCGCTGTCCCGGGACGCCCCCGGTGTCCCCCCCGGCGCTGTTGGCGGGCCGCCCCGGCCGGGCGTTGCTGCTGCCCCCCCGCCCCCGCCGCCGTTGCCCTTTTCTCCCGCTTTTCGGGGCGGTTTTGGCGGCCGGTTGCGTCTGGGCCGGCGGCCAGCGGCGCTTCTCGCAGCTTCGGCGCCCGCCCCGCACACGCGTGTGCACGCGCCAGGGACACGCCAGCGCACACGCGTGTGCCCCTGCCCGCGCACGCCGTGCCCGGTGCCCCCGGTGACCCCGGTGCTCCCGGTGCCTGGAGCCCCGCGCTGCCCTCGGGCCGCCCTGCCCGCTCCGCGGCCGCTTTGGGCCGGTGCCACCGGCGGATTTCGGGCCAGGGCTTGCACCGGGAGCGGCCTGCGGGACGGGCCGGCCTCGGTGTCCTCCCGCTGTCCCCTGGTGTCCCCTGGTGTCCCCTGGCAGCGGCTCCGGCCTCCTTGGGGACGCCTCGGTGCCCTCCGGCTGTCGGTGCCCTGCGTCCCGCCCGTGTCGCTCGGTGTCCCCTCCGTGTCCCCCCCCCGGGGTCCCCCCGTGTCCCTCCGCATCGCCGCCGTGTCCCTGGGGTCCCCTCGTGTCCCCTCCCCGCCGCACGGAGCCACCCCCTGCCCGTCCCCGGCGCTGTCACCGCCCCGTGCCAGTGTCCCTTGTCCAGGTGTGACAGCGCACGCGCGGCGGTGACACGCGTGACAGGTGTGACACGCGTGTGTGACGGGGCGCAGGTGTGACAACCGAGCGACGGGGCGCGAGCGTGACACGCGCGTGTGACGGGACACGGCTGTGACACGCGCGTGCGACGGGGCGCAGGTGTGACGGGCACACAGGCAGCACACGCGTGTGACACGCGTGTGACACGGGCGCCTGCCAGGCCCGGCGCCCCCCGTGCCGTGGCTGATGCAATCGGGGCGGGGGGAGAGGCACCAAAACCCCCGCCCCACACCCGGGGGGCCCCCCTGCCGCCGCGCTGGCGCTCTGCCGGGCGCTCGCAGCTGCGGACGCGGCGACGTGGCTTCGCCCGAGACTGCGGCTCCAATGCGGGGCCGGCGCAGCCAATGGCAGCTCCGCGGCACCGCCGCCGGACCCCGCCTCGCCACCGACCCCCGCGCCCACCCCGGGCCGCCCCTGAGCCTCCGGAACCTTCCGCGGCCGCCCGCAGGGCCGGGGAGGGGTCCCGGGGGGTCTGGGAGGGGTCCGAGGTGTCGGGGAGGGGTCCGGGCGTGCGGGCGGTGCCGGTGGGTCTTTGTGAGGGTGCTGGGGGTTTTGGGGGGCGCAGGGGCGTCGGGGGCGCGGAGCTCCGGAAACTGAGGAGGCCTGGGCGACGCCCTGGGGTCTCTGCGGTGTCCTGAGGGGTCACTCTGGTGTCCAGAGGGGTCAGTCAGGTGTCTGGGAGGGGTCACTCTGGTGTCCTGAGGGGTCCCACGTGTCCCAAGGGGTCCCAGGCGTCCAGAGAGGTCACTCTGGTGTCCCGAGGGTCACTCAGGTGTCCAGAGGGGTCCCAGGTGTCCAGAGGGGTCCCAGGTGTCCTGAGGGGTCCCAGGTGTCTGGGAGGGGTCAGTCAGGTGTCCAGAGGGGTCACTCAGGTGTCCAGAGGGGTCCCAGGTGTCTGGGAGGGGTCACTCAGGTGTCCTGAGGGGTCACTCTGATGTCCCAAGGGGGGTCCCAGGTGTCCTGAGGGGTCCCAGGTGTCTGGGAGGGGTCAGTCAGGTGTCCAGAGGGGTCACTCAGGTGTCCAGAGGGGTCCCAGGTGTCCTGAGGGGTCCCAGGTGTCTGGGAGGGGTCACTCTGATGTCCAGAGGGGTCCCACGTGTCCCAAGGGGTTCCAGGTGTCCAGAGAGGTCACTCTGATGTCCCAAGGGGTCACTCAGGTGTCCCAAAGGGTCACTCCGATGTCCAGAGGGGTCCCACGTGTCCGAAGGGGTTCCAGGTGTCCTGAGGGTCACTCAGGTGTCCTGAGGGGTCCCAGGTGTCCAGAGGGGTCACTCTGATGTCCTGAGGGGTCACTCCGGTGTCCCCAGGGGTCCCACGTGTCCCGAAGCCCCCCTGCCCCGAGCGGACGCTGCCAGACCCGGCCCTGGGGTCCCGTGCGGGATCCCGGCCCAGGGGGGGCCACCACTGCCCCCACCCCCCCCCAGGAAAACCCCCCTGCTGCGGTTTTGGGCTGAAAACCTCCAGCTTTGGGGCCGGCCGGGAGCCGCTGCCCAGGCCCGCCGCCGAAACGCCCAAATTTTGGTTTCTTTCCTTTGCACAGAGGGATTTAATTACCGGGGGGGGGGAAGCGTTGGCTCCGAGAGCCGCGGCCGGGATTTTGGGGGCAGAAACGTCGGGTTTGGGCCGTTCCACGCTGGGGCCGCCGCGGGGCTGGGGCAGGGGGCCAAAGCCGGGCCCTTCCCGGGGGGAACGGGGGCAGCGGGACCCCCGGGAACCCCCCCGGGAACCCCCCCGGTCTGGGGGGGGCGTCCTCGCCCGACCCTTTTTGCACGAGGGGATTTTTGCACGAGGGCTTTGCACGAGCACGAGGGGCCGCAACAGGAGCCCCCCCCCGCCGCCCCCTCCGCGGGGGTTTTTTGGGGCCAATCCGCGGGGTTTTCGGCGAAGCCCCCCCCCGGGGTCTCCCCCACCCCCACCCGCCAGCCGCCACCCCGCTGCTCCATCCCGCCGTCACCGGGACCCCCGGCACCTGAGCGTTCCCCCCAGCACGGTCCGGACCCCCGGCCCCGCCCCCCCCCCTTGCCGGTAGTTCCCGTTAACCCCTTCCCCCCCAGTCCGTTTGCGCCCCCCGTCCCCGTCTGTCGCCCCCGGTTCTGCCCCGCCGGGGCCCGACTGGCAGCTGCCCACGGCCGGGATGCGCCGCCGCGATGGTACGGACGGGGCGGACCGGGAGCGGGGACCGGCACCGGGGACACCGGGGACCGCGACAGCGGCCGGGAAGGGGCCGGGGAGCGGCGGCACCGGGAGCGGGGAGAAGGGACGGGGAGCGGCGGCGCTGCCGGTGGAGGGAGGGGACGGAGGTGGCACCGGGGACTGCCGGGGACCGAGATCGGTGGCACCGGCGCGGGGTCGGCAGCAGGGAACGGCGGCGGGGATGGGGAGCGGGGCGGCCGAGCCCCGACGGCGGCGGGAGCATCACCGGGAGGCGGACGGGGACGAGCGGGGAGCGATGGAGCTGTGGTGACACCGGGGAGCGGGCTGAGGCAGTGCCCGAGACCGGGCTGTGCTGGCACCGGGGATGGAGCTGCGGTGACACCGGGAACGGGGCTGTGGTGACACCGGGGACCGGGCTGTGGTGACACCGGGGACTGGGCTGAGGCAGTGCCCGAGACCGGGCTGTGCTGGCACCGGGGATGGAGCTGTGGTGGCACCGGGGATGGGGCTGTGCCAGTACCGGGGACTGGGCTGTGATGGCACCGGGGATGAGACTGTGGCAGTACCGTGGACGGGGATGCGGTGGCACCGGGGATGGAGCTGCGGTGGCACCGGGAACGGGGCTGTGGTGGCACCGGGGACGGGGCTGCGGTGGCACCGGGGTCAGGGCTGTGGTGGCACTGGGGATGGAGCTGTGGTGGCACCGGGGACTGGGCTGTGCCAGTACGAGGGACGGGGCTGTGCTGGCACCGGGGACAGGGCTGCGGTGGCACCGGGGACTGGGCTGTGCCAGTACGGGGGACGGGGCTGTGGTGGCACCGGGGACGGGGCTGCGGTGGTACCGGGAACGGGGCTGTGGTGGCACCGGGAACTGGGCTGTGGCGGCACCGGGGACGGGGCTGTGGCGGCACTGGGAACGGGGCTGTGCCGGTACCGGGGACGGGGCTGTGGTGGCACTGGGGACTGGGCTGTGACGGCACTGGGAACGGGGCTGTGCCAGTACCGGGGACGGGCGGGGCTGTGGTGGCACTGGGGGGCTGTGGTGGCACCAGGAACAGGGCTGTGCCAGTACCAGGGACAGGGCTGTGGTGGCACCGGGGACGGGGCTGTGGTGGCACTGGGGACTGGGCTGTGACGGCACTGGGAACGGGGCTGTGCCAGTACCGGGGACGGGGCTGTTGTGGCACCGGGGACAGGGACCGCACCGGCCCAGGCTCAGCCGTCCCCGCTCCGGCCGCACGGCAGCCCCGCTGCACCGGGAGCCGCCTCTCCCCCGGAGCTCCCCGGCAACCCCGCGGCGCCACGACCCGCCGGGATCCCCCCGAGGTGGGGGGACTCCGACGGGGGGCCGGGCGCGGCGCGGGGCGCGTCCCCCGCTGCCCTCCGGCCCGGCCCAGCCCGTTACCGTTCCCTCCCGCGCAGGATGAGTTCGGGGCTGTGCCAGTACCGGGGACGGGGCTGCGGTGGCACCGGGGACGGGGCTGTGCCAGTACGGGGGACAGGGCTGTGGTGGCACCGGGAACGGGGCTGTGCCAGTACCGGGGACAGGGCTGCGATGGCACCGGGGACAGGGACCGCACTGGCCCAGGCTCAGCCGTCCCCGCTCCGGCCGCACGGCAGCCCCGCTGCACCGGGAGCCGCCTCTCCCCCGGAGCTCCCCGGCAACCCCGCGGCGCCACGACCCGCCGGGATCCCCCCGAGGTGGGGGGACTCCGACGGGGGGCCGGGCGCGGCGCGGGGCGCGTCCCCCGCTGCCCTCCGGCCCGGCCCAGCCCGTTACCGTTCCCTCCCGCGCAGGATGAGTTCCACCCCTTCATCGAGGCGCTGCTGCCGCACGTCCGGGCCTTCTCCTACACCTGGTTCAACCTCCAGGCCCGCAAGCGCAAGTACTTCAAGAAGCACGAGAAGCGGATGTCCAAGGAGGAGGAGCGCGCCGTCAAGGACGAGCTGCTGGGCGAGAAGCCGGAGGTCAAGCAGAAATGGGCCTCGCGCCTCCTGGCCAAGCTGCGCAAGGACATCCGGCCCGAGTGCCGCGAGGACTTCGTGCTGTCCGTCACCGGCAAGAAGGCGCCGTGCTGCGTCCTCTCCAACCCCGACCAGAAGGGCAAGATCCGCCGCATCGACTGCCTGCGCCAGGCCGACAAGGTGTGGCGGCTGGACCTGGTGATGGTCATCCTCTTCAAGGGCGTGCCGCTGGAGAGCACGGACGGCGAGCGCCTGGCCAAGGCGCCGCAGTGCGCCAGCCCCGGCCTCTGCGTGCAGCCCCACCACATCGGCGTCACCATCAAGGAGCTCGACCTCTACCTGGCTTACTTCGTCCACGCGCCAGGTGAGCGCCGAGATTTTCCCGGAGAGACCCCCCCCACCTCACTCGTGGGACCCCCCCTCGGCCGGCCCCACCCCGGGGCGTCCCCGGCCGGCCTCGCTCGCACAAAGCCGCGCCGAGTGCCAGCGCGCGCGCCCGGCGCCGCCGCGTG